TTAATAAATCATATAAAGGCATGCAATAAAGGTTTGACACAGAAACGAGGTCATCAGGTCAAGAACTTGCCATTAAAGCCAAAACCGGTCAAAAGAACTAGTTTTAAATTTATAAGAATATGGCTATAAGGAGATAGGATTGGACAACTCATTTCAAATTTTTACAGCACATAAAGAACTGAAAATTACACATTTTCACCAAAGGAAAGCCCCTAAACATGCTCCTTAACCAATTTAAATAAATTGAGCAAAATTTGGACAGAACTCAAATTAATTCATTTAAAATAGCTATAGTCAGAATTTAATTCTGAAATTTTTACAGTAGCAAGATATCATTAAGAACAGCAATATATCCATAAATTAGCCAAATCTGACAAGAACTCGATTTTATATATATTTATTATGAAACAGTCCAGAAACGGTTTTCGAGTTTTGACAGGGCTACAAGCCAGATAAAAATCTCAAATTTTAACTACATGCAGTGTAACAACAATGTGACAACATATCCAAAAATCAGAATTTTTGGAGCAATACACGAATTATAGTGATTTTAGCAAAAATGGGCTGCAACACAATTTTCAAAAGTTCATATCTTACAATATACATATCGAAACGACACAAGGCGAAAGCCAGTGCGTCAAGGACATTCCTAAGTCTATTTATCCACAGCACTTCAACGGGAAATACAACATAATCTCAGTCCGATAATTTTTCAAAGTGACGACAATCACTTTGATACCCAATAACAATAATATATCCAAATTTCACACGAATACATACCGAACACACATAATTAAATCAAAAAGCATACGATCAGCAATAAAAATATATATTCGAGCACTTAAACACATAATCAAATGATAAATGAGTGGAGTTCGAGCGCAAGTACCGTTCTCGGGGAATAATCGAAAACCAACGGAATGAAAGGGATGAATGGTACAATCAGTAGGCTCGACGGATTCGCTTCGTCTCACGCGGAGGAGTAGCAGCAGCTAACGGGGCTCGACGGAGGCTGATGGTCGCTGCGAGGATCGCGGGGGAGGTTAACGGAGGAGCACGGACCCACCGTAAGGCAGCTGCAACTGGATGGGACGATCCTCGGTGCTCTGTTGCTTGTCCCTGAGGTGTTGTGATGATTATGGTGGTCTGATGATCGGAACAGAGGCGGCAACCAGGGCTGCTTCTCACAAACGGAAAACAGAGGGTGGTGACGTCGGGGCCTGCGATTGGATAACGGGGCTCGCCGGCTACGTTTGACACTCCGACAGAACTCGACGGGACTCGACGGCCACGTTCGGCACTCCGACGAAACTCGACGGGTCCCGACGGCTGAGAATGGACGTTGATGGAGGAGTGCTCGCCGGAGGAGCAGGGTAGCCGGAGGGGCGCTGCGAAAGAGCTGCTCACCGTGAAAGCTTGATGGCAGTGATGATGATGACCTGATAATGGTGATGGTGGGCCGCTGGGGACGATGCGAGGCAGCAGTAACGGTTCTCCAGTGGTAGTGCTGCACGGCGGTCTTTTGGTGGCTGCGCGATCGGAGGACGAGACAGGATTATGATGGAGATGGTCGGACGGTGGCCTGATGACAGAGATGGTGACCGGCGAGGATGACCGTGCTGGTATGATGGTGATGAGTGATAGATAATGGCAGTAGGATGTCGATTGATAGAGGGCGACGGAAAAAATAGCGAGAGAATGTGAAAGCCTGAGAGATTAATTTTTAGGGTCTGCGGTAATATTGAGATGACCACCTATATATATATATATATATAT